GTCGAAGGACACGGGGGCCGACAGCAAGTGCGAGACAGATCAGAACGGCCCCGAGTCAGAGCCCACGCGGGTGCTTGTCACCATCGAGGACTTCGTCCTCTGGGCGGATCAGAGCGAGATCGGCCGCCAGCTCACAGCTGGCGACAACACAAAGAAGAACCCCAAGGACACCCACCACGTGAGGAATCAAGACGGAGGATGAGGCGGAGGATGAGGCGGGGGATGAGGCGGAGGATGAGGCGTGTATGAGGCGGAGGATGGGGAGACCGAGACACATACACACAAAGACACACACAAACACACACAAACCCACACAAACACACACACACACACACACACACGCACGCACGCACGCACGCACACGCACACACACACACACACACACACACACACACACGCACGCACGCACGCACGCACGCACGCACACACACACACACACACACACACCCACACACACACACACACACACGCACGCGTGCGCACACACGCACACACATACACACGCACACGCCCACTAAGGGTGGAGAACTTACCCCATCAGCACGCAACAAGGCGACCACCCTGCTCCGCTGGGTCCCCAGGGGCCCCCGTCCTGACTGGTTCGTGTATTCTTTGGCGTTTACCCAGGGGTGCCATTCAGGGCAAGTTTGGTTTTTTTTTAACTTCTGGCGTGAATGGCCTGTGCCCTGCAAGCGCCGTCCGTCCATTCAATCATCCTTCTCATCCCCCCATTCGTCCTCCACCTCGCCCGTCTCACCCTCCGTCCCATCGCCGAACTCCTCGCCTGTATGTGTGTGTGTGTGTGTGTGCGGGGGCAGGGGCCCAGAGGAGAGCGACCTGGCGGCATACGAGAACGAGGTAGAGGAAGATGACGACGGCTGCACGTTCGACGCGAGGCTCCACAAGGCTGTGATTGGCATCGGTCGTAGCTCGGGTTCATCGGGCGGACGCCGCCTTCGGTCCCCCAGCCCCCAGCGCGGCGGGTCGCCCATGTCCCGCCCGCAGCCCTCGCGTGCGACAGGGGGCTCGGCCTGGAAGCGAGCTCGCACCGCCCAGCCGCCCAGCGATGACCTCGAGTCCGTCCACAGCGGCGACGACGATTGCAGCGATCAGAGTGGCGAGGGCCCGAGTGGAGAGTATGCGATGAAGAGCACGACCTCGTTCACGAAATGGCAGAGGAAGATGACGAAGCTTGAGAATGACATCAACGGTTGTGTCGGGTCTCTCAGATCATTGGTGAAGGACAGGCTCGTTGCATTAGGTTCGGGGCCCTTGCCGAGCGGGTTGCAGATGTTGCTGGACCACGCAATGATGAAAGCCATGATCGGCCAGAGGGTCACCGAGCCGAACCAGATGTTCTTCCCTACGTTGGAGGACCCCCATTAAACTACGAACGTTCAGACGGCCGATGTTTCCAACGATTTCCAGCGTGCCCTCCCCGCCCATCCTCCCACCTCCTCTTGCTCCGCCCACTGACAGTCGCCCTCCACCGCGGTCCTCCCCCGAACATCCCCAGGAATTGTTGACGCTTCGCGTATCCCCACCATCCTCTGATGCAGCTGGTCGCTCTCGCCTGCGGCTGTTGATTAAACAAAATATGCCCACCAGCCCATCCAGAAACGGTGCCCATGCGAATTGTCTTGCTCAAGGGGGCCGATGATCATACAATGGATGAACGACAGTCAAGCTGAAGTCTTGGATGCGTATGTGCAGACCAGGATGGGACGATGGGGAGTATGATGATGAGGAAGAGGATGAGGAGGAGGATGAGGAGGAGGACGAGGACGAGGAGGATGATGATGAGGACGACGAGAAGGCGGAGGATGAGGATGATGACGGAGATGAGGAGGATGAGAATGAGGATGAAATTGAGGAGGATGAGGAGGAGGAGGAAACGGGCGATGGCTGTCTCTTCAGATGTCTCTTCGGAGTCTTCTCCCCCCCTCGCCCCCCACCCCCCAGGAATTTCAGGACGACGTTGGCAAGGCTGCCACCGAGACCACGGAGTTCGTCAAGTCGTGCTCCGACGAGTTCGCGGCAGACCCCGATCGCATCCACAAGGCGGGGCCGCGGGGAGGGCGGGCGGGAAGGCGCGCGGATGGATGGAGGAGGGTGGTTGATGCAGAGGAGGGAGGTAGAGGGGGAGAATGTTTGACGCTCCGCGTATCCCCACTAACCCATCCAAACACGGCGCCCAGGCGAGTTGCTTGGCTCAGGGAAGCGGGGGAGCATACAGTGGATCAAGAGCTGGGGAAACAGTCGAGCTAAAATCTAGGATCAGCCCGCGCAGACCCATGAGCGGAGGAGGAGGGGGATGAGGAGGAGGAGGGGATGAGGACGAGGAGGAGGAGGAGGATGATAATGAGGCGTAGAAATGAGGAGGACGAGGACGAGGAGGACGGGGAGGATGAGGACAGGAGGAGGAGGAAGAGGAGGAGGACGAGGAGGAGGAGGAGGAGGAGGATGATAATGGCGTTGCTGTCGCTTCGGATGTCTCTTCGAAGCTTTCTGTAGGCTTCTTTGAACGTCTTGGGGGGCCTCGTGGCGGTCCAAGGGGCACATTGGGGCAACGTGGGTCTCTCGGGGGGCCTCGCGGGGCCCATTGGCCCCCCCGCCCATTCTCTCCCCCCATGTCGTATGTATTGTCCGCTCTTCTTTCGTCTCCCCCCCGTTCGCCCTCCCCATCCCCCCTCCACTCCACACCGCCCGCCCTTCCACTAAAGGGCCCATGAGCACTTCAGTACACGTGCAGTCTCTCGGTGCACTGTGGCCAACCCTCCCCCTTCGTCTCCCCCATCCTTCGACATCCCCCATCACTCTCCTTCTTGGGGGGCAGCGGCGCAGAGGCGCGGAAGTATTCCCTCGAGACGTTCATCAAATGGGCAGCGACGGAGAAGAAGACCCTCGCGATGAAGCAGCACGCCAACCTCGTGCCCTTGAGCGACGCGTGTGGGGCAGCGCAGGTGCAGGCTGCTGAGGCGCCCGCCGCGCTCGCATCGTCCTCCCTCCTCCTCCTCCTCCTCCTCCTCCTCCTCCTCCTCCTCCTCTCCCTCCTCATCCTCCTCATTGTGTTTGGGTAATTCGAGTGGTGCTCGTGTGGTTGCCCAGTTACTCACTTACAGTAGTAGTAGTAGTAGTAGTAGTAGTAGTAGTAGTAGTGGTGGTAGTAGTAGTAGTAGTAGTAGTAGTAGTAGTAGTCGTAGTCGTAGTCGTAGTAGATGTAGTAGTCGTAGTAGTCGTAGTAGTAGTAGCAGTAGTAGTAGTAATAGTAGTGGTGGTGGTAGTAGTAGTAGTAGTAACCGTAGTAGTAGTAGTAGTAGTAGTAGTAGTAGTAGTAGTAGTAGTAGTAGTAGTAGTAGTAGTAGTAGTAGCAGTAGTAGTAGTAGTAATAGTAGTAGTAGTAGTAGTAATAGTAGTACTAGTAGCAGTAGCAGTAGCTAGTAGTAGTAGTAGTAGTAGTAGTAGTAGTAGTAGTAGCAGTCGTAGTAGTAGTAGTAGTAGTCGTAGTAGTAGTAGTAGAAGTAGTAGTAGTAGTAGTAGTAATAGTACTACTACTAGTACTAGTAGTAGTAGTAGTAGTAGTAGTAGTAGTAGTAGTAGTAGCGGTAGTAGTAGTAGTAGTAGCGGTAGTAGTAGTAGAAGAAGAAGAAGTAGGAGTAGTAGTAGTAGTAGGCGTAGTAGTAGCGCTGAGTACTAGGCGTAGTAGTAGTAGGAGCTCCCAAAAATCTTGTGCGCGCTGAGGGATAGTGAAAGATGATGGCGATCTCTAGGGAGCCCTAAAAAAGGGATCTGAGGATCACGGTGGATTCTTAAGGAATCCCACGCGTCCTGGTGGATAGTGATGGTTCTTGATTGATGGCCCCCCAGGAATTTCTTGGCAATTGACGGCCTCGGAGGGTCCCTGAGAAATCTTGAAGAACTTGGACGGATTCTCTGAAGGATCCGGGGACCGCCCGAGGAAGTCTCAGCAAGCTTTAGGCATCTGAATGGTTTTTTAAAGTTTCAGAGCAATTCTGGCCGACCCTGAATGTTTCAAAAGGATTTTGTGCAACAGAATTCTTGAGGAATCTCTATGAATCTGAAGGCGTTTTGCTGACTCCTCAAAATCTCAAGCACCTTCCGGGAAACCAGCAGAATTCCACGGATTCCTGGTGGAGGCTGAGGGTTCTTGGTGGATTCGCGAAGAGTCCTGAAGCATCATGGGATTCTAATTGGCCCCAGAGGATCCCTCAAGAACCGTGTAGGATGCTGAGGATCCCCGTGGGATCTTATATGTTATCGACTGGGCTCTCGGTTGTTTTTGATTGTTCTTCAAGACTCTTAAGGAACCCACATGATACCTGAGGAATCTGGAAGGAGTCGGAAGATGATGGGGGGATCTTTCGGAATCTTGATGGATTGGGGAGGAATCCTGCGACATTCTTGTGGGTTCTGGGCGAATCCTGGGGCTTCCTGAAGAAGCTCGGTGGATTCTGCGATATTCTGACGGATCCTGAAGGGCCCAGAA